GATAATGACAATATTAATAAAAGTGGATTTTCCGCCGGGTTTCTAATGTGGTCATGTCATGTTAAATCTTGAGTCTTAAATTGTGTTAGAAACTCCCTAAGGTTTTGCTCGCCATGGAGACCCCTGGGACCGCCTCAGGTAACACCAACAGTAGCACAGCAGTGAGAGGCAGTCGGTGGAGGACGTACTTTGGACACTGCCAGGTTCGGTGATGTCCTGAGATTTTACTCTTATGTCAGGAAGACATGTTAAGTTCAGGCAAATACTTGTATGTGTGGACAGAATCTGAAATACACCACATAGCAGAGTTAGATCAGGAATGTGTAATGCAAACGTGAAAAGCAGGTTCTATTTTGTTGGGTTATTCACTAGGGAATCAGCTGAGGTTCCTTCTAATGATCTTTTTCCAGTCTTGCTTGCTGGAAAGCTGTGTAAGTGCTACTGTAGAGAAAATGGGACACTGTGGGTGGATCTGAGGACATCAATCCTTAGTGATTCAAGTGAGTTTTCAGGTGGGAAGCAGTGATTTTAGAGTCATTGATTAAAAATAAACATTCCTAAGTGTATTAGTGGAGATGTGCTGCTTATTTGTGAATCAAAGCTGTCTTCAGTCTCTTAAATTACGGTTTTTCGTTGTATTGGGTAAGAATGATTTATATTTAGTGAAAAGTTGCTTTCTCCTTTCAAATACAGAATTTTTAAAAAGACTTAGCTTGAGTAAGTACCTTCTATTCGATGCTTTCTGTGCCTAATCTTAGGAAATCCGGAATAGTATCTTCGACAGAAATTATGTTTTCAACTTGCCTTTGACATCTGTCCCACTGCATTTTGCTTTAAAATTCTTCATTTAACAATAAATTATCTAAAAAATAACAGTAGTGTAAGGTAAAGTACTCATCTTTAAAGACAGATTCAAGACTGAGGGAACGGAACCGCATAACGTCAGGGTTGTTTAGGAATTGCAGGCAGGAGGAGAGAACAGAATGGGTGGGCTGGGGGCAGTGAGAGAGCAAGAAGAAAACAAAAGAGAAGGGAGAAGAAAGAAATGGACTCTTGCTGGGTGCAGGTGGTGACATTTCCCAGGACACTTATTTCTCCTGTGCCTTCTGGAGGGAGCGGCCGGAGGCTCCTGGGAGGACGAGGAGCAGGTGCGCGCCACCAGAGCTCAGCTGCAGCTGGAGGATCCCTCGGGGTCCTGGCACACACCGGGTTTCAATCTTCCCTAAATATCCATGGGCCCAGTCGCTTACCTTCCCAGGCAAAACCTCCTCACCAGGAACAGAACCTGAAATCAATTTACACTGTAATCAAAATAGCAGAGAGGGAAAGCGTTTCCTTCAAGGAGGACTTGAACTCAAGTACGGATTGAGCACCTCGATCCTTAACTGAGAGTGAGGTCAGAAAGGGCGGACTCGCGGCAGCAAACGGGAGAGAAAAGTGCCGTTCAGTAGCCGCCTGATTTTTCCTTCAGGGAACCTTGCCAGACCATCTATCTCTGACTAAAGGCTTTCAAGATGATACCTTTGAGGTTGGGAGCCAAAGGGACCAGGCACATGTCCCTCCTGGCTGAGAAGATGTGCTGCTCTTGACAAAGTCTTAGGGAGACCAGTTTTAAGTTGTTTTATCTATGGTGGATTTTAAAGCTTTATTCATTAGTTGGTTGGTTGGTTGGTTGGCTGGTTTTGTGGCTGGCACCCTGGGAGTCAGTCGCTTCTTCAGTGCCTCTGTGTGATGGCAGGTTAGGGTGAGTGTTTGGTCTGTGGCCAGCTGGTTCCTCAGACGTCATGGTTTTGGGTACAGAGTGACTTCAGTGTGTGCCCAGACACACGATGCCAGCTGGTGAGGAATCTGAATTGAAGGAGCGAGGCTCTGGGAACCGGACAGTGGAGGTGGAACCCCTCCACCTCTACCCACTGTGGGCTGTAGAGCAAGTCACCAGCTCCCGGGCCTCCGTTTCCCAGCCATAATTTGACCCATTAGTAATAATAATAATAAAAATACTAATAATACTTGAGGTATAGATAAGTGCTCATAGATACAGGAAGTACCCAGTGCATGTTCATTGCTTTTATTACTATGAGCACGTGTGTGTGTGTGTGTCTACAATCTTCCCTCTGAGGCATCCATGATGGAAATCACACGGGTGTCTCACAACAGAGAATTGAGGTCCCTCTAGCACTTCCACTTGCTCTGGGAACATCCTGCCCCATCCTGTCCCTGGGGAGGTGGCAGCCTGCCCCCAGCCCAGGCCATTGGAACGAGTGTTCTTCCACAGGAGGCCAGCTGTGGGACCTGTCTCGCGCCCCCATTACTACCCATGAGGGGGCTCAAAACACAACCTAACAACCCCTGACTAATTCCCCAGAACCCAGCCCACCCAGATGGATGACAAACGCTGAGCCTCGCTTGGTTTTGGAAGGCAATTAGCTGGACACTGACGTGCCCTCCTGGCTTTGCTGTCATGGGGCTCTAACCCGTGTCTAGAATCCAGAAGAAAAGACTGAAGCAAAGAGAAGTGGAACAAGAGAGGGTGAGAAGGTGCACAACCAGTGTAGACCCTTTGCTAGAACTTCCCTTGCAGCTTCCCACCTGTCACAGAGAGGCTCCCACCAGTGGCCGCAGAGGGTGAGAGTCCGGACTGCCTGCAGCCAGAGCCTGGACCCTGCCCCAAGGCCTCCCCATGTCATTGTGTGAATCGGATTCCACAACTGAGAGCTGTCAACATGGCCCTCTGCTTCAGGGGACCCACCTCCTGTCCTTGGTGACCTTCTTTGAAACACACACACCTGGAGCTGTCCTAACCTGTCCTCTGTTTGTCCCCTCAATTTCAGCTCTAGGAGACAGGGCCATCAGCCCATGAGCCTCACGGGCCACCCCCTTCCCCTTGTATTCTGCCTACCTGGGTCCCCTCCTAAATATGTCCCTGGGAAGCCTCTACCACCTCATTAACTCACCCTGCACACCCCTCTGATCCTTCGGCCACTGCACGGCCAGCAGCTTTGAGAGTCCTCCTTCACACCCGCTGGGTGGCGTTGCTGATAGCAAAATGTGGCCCGCGCCACAGGACATCAGAAACACCTGCCATGCCAAGGTCTCAGAAGAAAAGCCAAGCCATGGGGGCAGACGGGGGAGACAGAGAGGTGGCTGGACAGAGGGCCCACCGCGGCCTTCCCAACAAGGGCACTGGGATGCCGTGAAAGACAAGGGGTGTAGTCCCAGGATGAAGACAGTGGACAAGCCAGGAAGGCAGAGGGGAAGGGGGTGCTGACTTGATTTCAAGAGTTCCAGCAACCCGTGGGAGTGGGCACGGGTCTCTTCCATGGTTCAGGCAGAGATTTAGGTCCAGCCAATTAAAAATCTGCCTAAAATCTTGCACAACTAAATGCAGAGAAAATGGAGAGTTTTGTGTGTCTCCAGACTCATCGGCTGCAACATACTCTGGCCTTGAGCCAACAGAGTGTTTCTAAGGAGTAGAGAATGTAAGAGTGAGGGGGCAGCCCTTGTCTAGGCTGGGTCTGGGCCTCCCAATGCTAGATGAGGAAGGGTGGAAGGGATGGGGATGACTCCATCACTGTGGCCCCAAGATGCCTCGACAGAGACAGCTTTCACCAGCTGCCTCCTGAAGGCACAACCTGGGCGTCCCAGGTCAGAGGAAAGTGTCCCAGGACACTGCTAGCTGGCAGGCAGCCACTCCGCATGCACTCCACTTGAGAAAGCAGAACTCTGCAAGACCTGTGTTTTGTGGACCCAATGTTCCAGACTAAAGTGGGAAGTGGGACGGGTGCTAAGCAGATGTGAGGCAGGAGATAGAAAATGCATCTGAGATCTTCAGAGACTGCCCTTTGTCTGAGCAAAGTCGGCTAAGCCCAGAAAAGTGGGGGCACTGATTCCCACACATTGTGTGTGACTCTTATCTGGGCTCTAACAATAAGCAGCACAGAAGCTGCCTCCTCTGGGACCTCAGCCTTGTCCCCAGCTCTGTGAACCTGAGCAAGGCCAGGATGCCAATAACAGTGTCCCCTGGAAAATTAGAAGCAGCTCATCCAGCTAAAGAAGTCAAGCCTGAGGCTTGGCTGTAAATTTGAGAGCAAGACAAAAATAACTGAGGTCACAAACTGACTTGCAGTCTGATGGAGTGAGTTCCAGCTCCCCACTCTGCACGTCGCTCCAGCATCCCTTTGTCCTCTCCAGGCTCCCACTGCTGAAGAGAGATGGTGGATTTCCCTGTGCCCCCTGACTCGAAGCCAGTATCTCTGACCAGAAGTCTAGTCTTCCTCATGCACCTCCTCCTCCTTCAGCCTGTGTCGAACTCAGGTATTGTGTCTGATCTGTAGCCCAGCCAGCCAGGACATGAACGCCACCCTCCCGCCAGGTGCTCCCCAGGGATAAGATCTAGAACAGTGCCAGGGCGTGCCAGATGCTAAAATACAAAAGGACTTCAATCCTGTTGTTAAAGAAAACACTACCCCCGGCATTATCCAGGATTGCAGTGTTCTCCACTATCTCTCCAGCTCCCACCACTCTGCACACTTCCCAGCACTCCAAAATCCACAGGCATAGCAGGGAGCCAAGCAAGAGGGTGCCAGGAAACTCATTGGCCTGTGTTTGTGCTGAACCCATTGATACACGTTTTTAACTTTACCCCTTGCAAAGCTTCTCTCATGAAAGATGTAGCCAACAGAGGGTGTAAACTAATAATTCAAAGATGATTTCCTAATTTCCTGGGCTGGAAACCAGGAATACTGGGGTGACCGCGGCATAGCCCAGGTCTTCAGCGGTCTGTAGTCAAGGGAGGGATGTGGATGTGGCATAAATGGCTGTCCATTTATGTGACCATGGCTGAGAGAAAGAGAGAGAGAGAGAGAGAGGGAGAGAGAGAGAGACTTTGGGAGCACAGCTAAGAGTAATGATTTGTTCCCAGAAAGCTGAGGAGAGCCATAGAAAGGGAATATAGTTTGAGCAGAGGCTTGCAGGATGCACATTCTCCAGGAAGATGACAGGTAGGGGATAAGCTGAGGCAGGGTGTGCCCAGGGAAACAGCCAGACATCAGTATGTGGAGGGACAGCCGGAGAGAACCTGGAGAGCGAACCGTGTTGGAAGGGTATTGGATATTCACCCAGCCGCCAATGAGGGGCCTCAAATAGTGTGAACAAAGGAAGGTCCCTCCATTTCCTGTGGGCCAAGTGCGGGACAGGGGGGTCCATGACAGGAGAGCTTCGGGATGCTTTCAGCTGAACTTGGAAAGAAAGGAGAAGAGAGGTACAGAGGCCAGAGAGAAGAGTGAGTGCCTGTGGGGCGGCAGTGCACGCGGAAGACCAGCGCAGGAGCAGCGACTCTCATGGGAACTGCAGACAACAGACCAGACCAAAGGGAGCAGAGAGGCCCCATGAAGAAGCCTTCAAAGAGGAGGGTGATCAAATGAAAGAGCCCAACAAATAAGTCTCAACGGAAGGATTTGGTTGGCCTTTTGATAAGAAAACCTGTGGAGCAGGGAACCCTCATAGATGATTTTTGATACCCTTTGTAGAACCTGTACATGTGAATTAGTTTTTAAACTCGGAAAATCAGACAAGCAAAAATAAGAAAATATATATTCTCATCATGCAGAAATTACCACCATCAGCAATTTGGTGTCTCCTTTCAGATATTTTTCTCTGCACATTTATGCAAATATATATGTTTTTTACTTAAGATAATGTTGTACAGATTATTTTGAAACTTGCTTTTTTGATCAAAGATTCCATTTCACTTCATGCTTTGGTCATATTTACATAATTGTCCCCAAAATAACATTTGTACCTGGTTGGATGAAACCAGTTACCAGCTCAGCACCACAAATCTGGTTGTGATGTCACCTGTGTGTTTAATTGTGCACTCACGTTTTTTCGTAAAAATTACTTGTTCAAGGATCCGGGCCAGTTGTCCTGCAGAGGATCTTACCTTTCTTGTTTGCATGGCTTGCTGTAGATTCCTCAGTTATAAAGGGGTGTGATAACTTTTTTTTAATTGGATGAGGGTTCCTTTTGCCTGTTCTGACTTGTCATCCTAGAGGTCAAGGTGCTAGGCCCTGAGTATCCCGTCCTGGCCCTCGTCGGGGAGGAGGTGGAGTTCCCGTGCCACCTATGGCCACAGCTGGATGCCCAGCACATGGAGATCCGCTGGTTCTGGAACCACACCTCAGACGTGGTGCACCTGTACCAGGAGCAGCAGGAGCTCCCTGGCAGGCAGATGGAGGCATTCCGGAACAGGACCAAGTTGGTCAAGGACTACATCGCCTACGGCAGTGTGATCCTGCAGCTTCACAGCATCGTCCCCTCCGACGAGGGCACATATGGCTGCCGCTTCCTCTCTAACAACTTCTCTGGCGAAGCTCTCTGGGAACTGGAGGTAGCAGGTGCGTGGACTGACCTAAGACCCTGCAGGGGAGAGGGAGATACAAGTGCTTTGCCCGAGTAGAGGTAGAGTCACAGAGAATGGAAGAATGTTGGTAATTTTTAAAAAACATAAAAGCTGATGGATAGGTCCATTCTCAAATGAACAAACAAAACAAACAGTTCACCAAAACATACACAAACAGCCCTTAAACATATGAAAAGGCTGGGCACAGTGGCTCAAGCCTTAAGCTCAGGCTTAATCCCAGCACTTTGGGAGACCGAGGCAAGCAGGTCACTCGAGCCCCAGAGTTCGAGACCAGCCCGGGCAACAAAGGGAGACCCCATCTCTTAGCCAGGTGTGGTGGTGCGTGCCTGTAGTCCCAGCTACTCAGGGGGGCGAGGTGGAGGGATCTGGCTGCAGTGAGCTTCACTTGCCACTGCACTCCAGCCCGGGCGACAACTCTGTCTCAAAAAATATATATATATGAGATATATGTTATATATCATATATATTTATATATATCATATATTTATTTATATATAATATATTATATTATATAATATTTGTAAATTATAAAATTTATAAATATATAAAATATAAAAATGTTATATGTTATATATAATATATTATGAGTAACAAAGTTACTCGTAGGGAGAGAAAGGCAAATCAAAGCTACGTCAAAATGCAATTTATTTTTAACTGTCAGACTAGCAAAATTTCAAAAGCTCTTCCACGTGCTGTTGATGGAGCTATGGAGAAGCAAGCTCTCTTGTACCATGTTAGTGGAATTCAAAGTTGGAAAGCTCCAGGACAGGGGAATTTGGTAATACTTAAGAGGACTAGCTGTGTGTCTACCCTCTGACACAGCAATCCCACCTCCAGGAACTTACGCCACCTCCGACACCTCCAATATGAAAAAAACGTATGTATGAGTTTAATCTTTGTAAAGCTTTTTAAAAACAATTGCAAAATAGTGGAAACCACCTAAATGTCCAAGCATAAAAGCTGAATATGCTCTATCCACCCAATGGAGTAATCTATATTATGTATTATGCATCTGAAACAATGATGAGGTGGTCTCTGAATGGATGCAGAGTGATTTCTAGTATTGTTAAGAGAGAAAATTAAAAGGCAAGGTTCAATAATACATACTTGCATGTGTAAGAAAGAAGGAGAAACATTGCCAAAAGGAACATAGGAAGGATAAACAAGAAATTAATGAAATTGGTTACCTAGGGTGAGGTGTGATGACATGGAAAGGATGGAGTTTTTTTCCTGGTATACATTTCTATACAGCATTGGCATTTAAACCACATTAATGTTTTGCATACTCAAAATACAATGCTAGTTCCACAAGGATGGAGAGATAAAGAAGCGTGTATGACGCAGTGGAGCTGGAGCTCTGGAGGGATTCAAGAAAAAGAGAAGAGTCACAACTCGAATGTATTAGAATTTAGGGTGGTGGTGTTCTTCATTCTAGGAAACTGTCCCTTGCCTGATATGATTAATTACCAGGAGCCCTTCCCCACCCAATGACCCCCTTCACATTTCCAAATGTCCCTCAGGGGTATTATTGTCCCCACATGCTACCACTGATTTAGAGTCATTTCCAGCATTTCCAAATGTCCCTCAGGGGTATCACTGTCCCCACATGCTACCACTAATTTAGACTGTCATTTCCAGTCCATGGGTGGGGAGCTGCAAGCCCACACCTGTCTTAATAGCAGCCACACTTCATGATGCTTTATGGTGACTACAAATGGTGAACAGTGGCATGAACTTTATGCGTGATTTCTCGGAAGGACCCTGATCTTTCCCACTCCTCCTGCCTCTGCCAGGGCTGGGCTCAGACCCTCACCTCTCCCTTGAGGGCTTCAAGGAAGGAGGCATTCAGCTGAGGCTGAGATCCAGTGGCTGGTACCCCAAGCCTAAGGCTCAGTGGAGAGACCACCAGGGACAGTGCCTGCCTCCAGAGTTTGAAGCCATCGTCTGGGATGCCCAGGGCCTGTTCAGTCTGGAAACATCCGTGGTTGTCCGAGAGGGAGCCTTCAGCAATGTGTCCCTCTCCATCCAGAATCTCCTCTTGAACCAGAAGAAAGAGTTCGTGGTCCAGATAGCAGGTCAGTGGTTGTCAGCTCACACCCGTCTTCCTAGTCCTCACGTCTCCATACACATTGGCCCAAAGGCAATCTATAAAGACACAGTGGTATTGCGTATAGGGTGTGTCTGTCTGCGTATAGGTGTGTTGGCCTTGACACCTGAAAAGTCAGTAACTTGGATATTAGGAACACACTAAGAACACTGCTGAGACCCCAAACAGTCAGTGAGGGAGGCCCCAGAGAGCCCACCTTTCTGTGCCTAAGGCCATACACTAAAACCCAAAACTCTACTCATCAGAGGCCATCATGGGAGCCAATAGATTCATCATGCTATCCCCCAAACAGTATTTATTGAGTTTCCGCAATGTGACCCCAGTCCCTACCCTCAGGTCCCCATGCCAGTGGGAGATACAGACAATAAGCAAAAGAAGTGCATCCTGTCACATCACGTTAGAAGGTGCAGCCGGGCACAGTGGCTCACACCTGTAATCCCAGCACTTTGGGAGGCCATAAAGACACAGGTATTGCGCATAGGTGTGTCTGGCCCGCTATGTGCGCAAGCTGGGCCTCGACACCCGAAAGTCAGCAACCGACACAGAACAACGCCAAAACCGCCTATTAACCTCAAAACGCCATGGTCCGCCACGTCCAACCCTAAATTTTTATTTATTAGAGCACAGGAGCATAGATCACATGCTATCCCCCAAACCGGAAGGGCTTAGGAGTTTTGAGGTAGGGGAGGCAGACATGGGCAGCAGGTGGTATCTTGTTGCACACAGAGAAGGGCACAGGAGCCACCCATCTTAGTAGACGAGGCAGGAGGACCATGAGGCTGGAGCGAGACCCAGGCGAGTGGAAGATGGTGAAACCCCATTCTACTGAAAATACAAAAAAATTAGCCGGGCGTGGTGGCAGGCGCCTGTAATCCTAGCTACTTGGGAGGCTGAAGCAGGAAAATCACTTGAACCCGAGGGGCAGAGGTTGCAGTGAGCCGAGATCTGGGCGACAGAGTAAGACTCTGTCTAAAGAAAAAAAAAAAGAAGGTGGTAGGCGCTGTAGAGAAAAATGAAGCAGGCCGAAAGTAGTGGGGCCTTACGCTTAGTGAGAGAAAGGCAAATCAAAGCTATATTAAAATGCAATTTTTTAAACTGTCAGACACAAAATTTCAAAAGCGCTTCCACGTGCTGTTGATGGAGCTACGGAGAAGCAAGCTCTCTTGTACCATATTACTGGAATTCAAAGTTGGAAAGCTCCAGAACAGGGGAATTTGGTAATACTTAAGAGGACTAGCTGTGTGTCTACCCTCTTACAGATGACGTCTGGGAAGTGGTTGTTTAGGCAGCGAACTGAAGGCAGGGTCATGGTTAAAGTCTTATTACAAGGCAGCCACCAAAGGGTTTCCAGTTCATGGTTCTAATTGTTTTACATTTTCAGGACAAACCCAATCTACAGGCCATTTTTCACAGAGTCCAAATCAATAGCTATTTTATTATAACAGAAAAGAAATCTCACCCTTTGATATAGTCGGTCAGATACAAGCCAATGCATACATGTTCTCTAGATAAATGATAACTTGTCTGCAAGTAGGAGGACTTGGCAAACCACTTATCACACGTGGTTCTAAATCTCCTGGGAACTGGGATGGCCATCTGTGCGAGCCAACTGTCTTTAACCAAAGGAAAAACAAAGCATGTGATATGTCTACGGCAAGCCTGTAGTTACGAGTTGGAGCCATGCAGCTAAGCTAAACTCCCATGAGACAGGGATCTCCGTGGCAGTGCTCTCCCTTTTTTTTTTAAAAAATTAATTAATTTATTATTATTATTATACTTTAAGTTCTAGGGTACATGTGCATAACGTGCAGGTTTGTTACATATGTATACTTGTGCCGTGTTGGTGTGCTGCACCCATCAACTCGTCATTTACATCAGGTATAACTCCCAGTGCAATCCCTCCCCCCTCCCCATGATAGGCCCCGTGTATGATGTTCCCATTCCCGAGTCCAAGTGATCTCATTGTTCAGTTCCCACCTATGAGTAAGAACATGCAGTGTTTGGTTTTCTGTTCTTGTGATAGTTTGCTAAGAATGATGGTTTCTGGAAACCATCATTCTTAGTGCTCTCTCTTTTATGTTTGCATTTCAAATACGCCACCCTTAGAAAAAACATTCTTGGGCTGTAAAGAAAGAATTGATACATTTTCTAAGGAAAATGAACTAAGAGAGGGGAAGAGGAAAGTGTCTCTCTTTTTGCACCAGGAAAAACCCAATATTTTCTTTTTAGCTTTTAATATAAATCTTAATTTATATTATTTATATTTATTATGAAACTTAAGTTTATATACAAATTTTTAGATGGGTAAATGTTTGCATGCACGGACCCCTTTACAGAGGGCATGATTCACATGGATAACTTTGGGAAGGCATTCTGGTGGTGGGAAGGGCAAAGCCAGGGGCCTGAGAGGGAAACCTGCCGGCTGCTGGCAGAACAGCGAGGAAGCCAGAGGGTCGAGGGGGAGGGTCACAGGTCAGAGAGACAGTTGGCCCTGAGCCCTTGCTCTTGACCCCAGGCGATTGCTTCACACACCATCTGTTGTGAGGACCAATCCATTGTGACCCAGTGTTCTTGTACCATACAATAAAAATGCACTGCTAGAAAAACAAAATTAAAGGCCAAAGCCCATTAATGTCACTTATAAGCCAGACACAAAAGAACAAATGCTGTCTGATTCCGCTGATGTGGGATTACCTGGAGAAGTCAAGTCCACAGGGGTGGAGAGAGTGTATGGAGGGCGCCAGGGGCTGCGGGGTGGAAGAGGAACTACTGTTTAATAAGTACAGAGGTTCAGTTTTGAAAGATGAAGAAACTTCTGGAGATGCGCGGTGGTGATGGTTGCACCACATGGTGAATACACTTACGCCCCTGAACTGTACACTTAAAAACGGTTAAGATGGGAAATGTTGTTCCGTATATTTTACTGCAACAAAAAAGAATATTTCTTAAAGATCTGAGATCAAAGCACCATTTTCCAGTAATTAGACGACACAGACAGAAAGTCACTCTGTTAAACTGCCACAGCGTTTGTGAAAGGCCGATGTGTTCTGCGCCGGCTGGTGCTGTGGGCGCTGCCCCGGGGCGGGTCCTGCCTGGGGAGCCGGGAGGGAGGTGGGAGCTGCCAGGCCACGCGCGCATGGTTTCGTTCTCACGGCTTCCAGAAGCGCAGTAAGAACCGAGGTAGAAGCCGAATGTTTGCAAACAAGCAGGAGAAGAGCTGTGGACTAGACAGCGCGGGCGCAGAGCGGGAGCCCCCTGGACGTCCAGCGCCTGCCAAGCCCCAGGGACCCTCCCACGTGGGGCAAGAGTGGGAAGGAGCGGAGCGAGGGCAGCGCGTGGCCGCAGAAGCCGCGAGCCGGGCTGGGGCGCCGGTTCCCTCCCGCACACGCTGCAGCTCGCCCCGGCCCGTCCGCAGGGCGCGCTCGGCTCCCACCTCCGGAGCGCATTTCACCCGCGGCTGCCGGCCGAAGGTCCCTCGGGCGGTTTTCCGGCGCGCAGCGGGCAGGCCGGGCTTGCGTCTGGGTGTTCAGTGGCGCCTGAATCGAGACGGCCCCGGGGGGTGTTTTCCAGGCGTGTTTTCTCCCGGAGCCTCTCCGTGGAAGGGCGCTTTGGTCGGGGCCCTGGCGGCGCTGCTGGCGGTCCTCGCGGCGCTGGCGCTGGGCTTCCTCCGGCTGCGGCGGCGATGCCAAGGTACCGGCGCGGGGCAGTGGGGCGGGGAGGGGCGTCCGGCCGGTCCTGGACCCCGGGCCACCGGGCGCCCCCTCCCAGGACGGGGCGCGGGAAGGGGGCCTGGAGAGAGCGGGGGGCGCACACTCAGCCTCTCCCCTCCCGTTTTCCCTTCAGAAAAGCTGAAGAAGGAGGCGCAGAAGAGAGAAGGTGAGCGGGGACCGGGCGCTCTGCACCCACCTCCCGAGGTGCCGACCCGCAGTGCAGTAAATCAAAGGCTCTGGACCCCATGACGAGGGTTTGTTCCAGCGCAAGGTGTCAGGGCGGCCCCCGGGAGCGGCGATCAGCGCCCTCGGTGGGGAAAGGGAAGATTGTTCATAGGGACAAAAGCGGAGGTGCTGAACGGTTGCATCTTCCACGCAGAGGGTAGTGTGCGGTGCCAGGGTTGATTGGCTGCTGTTGATCACACCCTTGGAGCTCGCTTAACATTGCACCGTACAGAGGGAGCAGTGACCGGGGTCTCCGCTGCCAGCGTCATTGCGTCCAGGTTTTCGTGAAGCGCAGGGAGTCGGGCTGATGGGTGACACCTCAGCACAAGGTCAGGAAGCAGCGGTCAGGCACCAGAGCAAACAGCCGTGGTGTGTGAGGCAGTGTCCAGGGCTTAACGCTTCCCCTGGGCAGAGTAAATTTGGAAGGCTCCGACATTTATTTTCACACTAGCAGGAGGGAGGGCGCTGGGTCACCCTCCTATGGAGAAGGGGAGCCAAGCGTGAGCACTTCCCCATCCCCTGCCTGGAGCCTCACTGTCCAGCCCAGCCTGGGCCCCCAGACCACCGGGGGTGGGAGTGCCACATCGGAGGTGTGGCCTCAGCGTTCATCCATCTGTTCTGTCTGCCTCATTCCCCAACCTGAAAGTCTTTCTTTTTTTTTTCCTATCTCTCTCTCTCTCTCTAGGGAAACTCACTGCAGAGCTGGGTAAGTTCTGGGTGCCGGGCCACAGTGCTGCCTGTCAGACAGTGGGGTGGACCCCTGTGCCTGTGCAGTGGGAGGAGAGGCTCCCTTTGGAGGGAGTCAGCTGGCAACTGTCTAATTCTAGACCATCCCTGTGAGCCTCCACCTCTTCTCTTGCTAAGGGGCTGGAAAGGGTGGCTGCCTGCCACTGTCCAGCTGCCTGAGACCCTCCGGACAGACCCTGCCAGCTCCTCCCCTGCAAATTAGACAATTCAGTTAAAATTCCGTCATAAAACGTTTACTGTTTCTGGTTCATCTTCCTAAAATATCCTTCTCTTTGTAATGCAAATGGCACTAGGAAGGGTGACACCTTTAATGTGCACCAAAATGGGAGTAATTTCTCAGATTCCCTTTTCTCCCCAGAGACTCAGAGACGTGAAACCGTGGAATGTGTCTCTGCAGAGAGGAAGCCAGAGTGAACCCAAGGGAGGGGGATGGAGGAAAAGGCCATCATGGTGTTGGGGTTGGGGTGTGATTCAAATGAAACTGTAAGGTTGGGGAAGCTTGTCTTGCCATCTGCCTAGTCCTTCAAGGGGAATGAAAAAAAAATAGCCCTAATAAGTCATTAACACTATAGTCTGAATTGTAAGTCATAACACTATAGTACGAATGCCTCTACCAGGAGCATTTACCTTTGAAAGAGCTTGACACTGGATGGACAGATCAAAGGAATGCATTTTTAGTAGCAAAATGTTGGCGTCCTTGGTATTTGGTCAGGGTTGAAAGAGCTTGACTGGATGGACAGATCAAAGGAATGCATTTTTAGGGCAAAACAAGTTGGAAGGCCTCCTTGGTATTTGGTCAGGGAAATAATTGGGTCGACAGTCCTTCCAGTCATTTAAATAACGTACCAGTAAGTGACCCTGAGGCTCACATAGGCTGCACTCAGTGCCTGGACTTACGTAGGAGCTCTGCCCCCAGAAGCTTGTGATTTCAGACAGAAGGAATAACCTGAACCCTGGGAAGAGGCATGTCAGTACTAAGATCTGGTTCCCCTTCTAGGCCCTGTGCAGATTTCTACCTTTGAGCTAAGATAGGATGAGGCATAAGAGTCCTGCAGGTGGGCCTCCTTTTTGAGGGCAATGAAGGGGCAAAGATGAAGTTGCGGGGAAAAAAAAAAAAAAAAAAAATGAAGCTATGATTAGCAATGGCTTAAGACTGAGGAAGCTCTTCCCAGTGGCCTGTCTTGGGAAGATGGTTCCACCCATCTGCAGGCTGATGTTTTCTTTGTGTGTTCTGCTTGCAGAGAAGCTTCAGAAAGAGCTTGGTAAGTGACCCCTCTTAGAACTATTTCTCTTTATTCATCATTTTGCATCTGGTTCCCGATATATCTTCTCATCTCCCAACCAGGTATGGTGCCCAGGCAGGACCCCTGCTGGCGGTGTGGGTGGCGGGAGAGAGGGGAGGGGAGGGGACACGGTGGGTGCAAGATGTGATGTGTGAGCGGGGAAGCTTGGGGTCCTGATGTGCTAATTTCCTGCTTTTCCTTGGTTGCTTCAGACTGGAGACGGACTGAAGGCCAGGCTGGTGAGTGGAATCCGTCTCTCTCTGACTCTTCCTCATTTATGTCTGAGCACCCCGATCCAACTCACCCTGATGAACCTATTGGGCTTCATTCTGGTTGCATTCCGCGGCCTCACACAGCATGTGTTAATCTGTGTCACTGGGTAGAGGTTATACTCTGTCCTGAGGACTAAGTGTACTGCAAACCACTAGTTCCAATCCTGGTTACATATCAGAGTTACCTTGACTTCTGGTGCCCATCCTCCAAGACAGACTCATGGTTCGGGCATGAGTGTGTTGCTGTACATGGAAATACTTCTCTGTATACCTCCCTCTATTCACCCCTAATGCAGACAGTCTAATGTATATAGTTTGTATATATTCTTGCAAAATGTGAATGTCGATTTATGCATATGCATCTTAGTTCATGTAAGTGACATTTATGGTTCTGTGCTGTTCCTTGCTTTTCTCATGCTCACCATGTTTTAGTATCCATCGCTGCCACTCGTGTGTATTCAGTCTGTTTTTCCTCCTTACCGCAGAGTGCTTCATTTTAGCCAGCCACCCTCCCGGGGAAGGTATCCAGGCTGCCTGTAACTCCACAACAACACCGAATGCATAGTCTCAAACGCGTTGCCTTACGGCCCTGTGTGGAGATCTCTCTGGGGTCTATAACTAGGAGGGGGATTGCTGGCCCATGGTGGGTGTGTCCCATGGGGTAAGGGGATACTGGGATCCCCTGAAGGCAGCGTCATCATCCTGCCACCAGCCAAGCCGGGACATTCCATGTGCCCACATCTCACGTGAGCCCGCTTTCTAAGTTTGCCAGTCAATGGGGATAAGTGATGGCTCATGGTTCTTTAGGTTTGCACACCTGTGAATGCTGAGAAGATTGAGCATCTCCATATATGCTAGTTGCTTCAGGAGCTTCCTCTACTGAAAACTGCCAGTTCGTATCATTGACCCATTTTTCTTTTGGGATTGCTGTCTTTTATTATTAACAGGAATATTATATGTCTCTGTGTGTGTGTGTGTGTGTCTGTGTGTGTGTGTGAGAGAGAGAGAGAGAGAGAGAGAGATTAATCCTTCGTGGGTAAACATTGTGAATTCCTTCTTCTGTTGTGCCATCTGCCATTAGCTGTGTCCATAGTTCCCCTTATTGAAAAGGAATTATTAATTTTGATAAAACGTAATCCATCACCTTTTTAGCTACCTTATGGTTTGTGTTTTTGAAGTTTCATTGAAGAAAACCTCCCTCACACTTAGGTCACAAAGATATTCTCTTACACTTTCTTCTATTTCTTTTTCTTCATGTAACTACAAAAACCTTTCTACTACCTTTATATTTGCATCTTTAATCCATCTAAAATTTGCCATTTTATGAGGTGTTGGGTGAGAATCCTGTGATTTTTCTCCATATAGTGAGTTGGGCTTACCAATGCCATTTACTCCACCATTCCAGGGTTGCCACTGATGGGAACCACCTTTGATGCACGTTGGATTCCTGTCTCTATATGAGTGTGTCCATTGGCCACCTATTACATCATTGTTTTTACTGCTATGGCTTTTGTAGTATCTGAAAGTACAAGTTTTCCTTCTCCATTTCCAATTCCTTTTTTAAAGTGAATGAACCTTTTTAAAATATAAACTTTAGGATAAATTCATAAATCTCCACAAAAAATCCAAAAAGGAGTTTAACATAGGATTGCTTTGAACTTACAGATAAACTTAGGGAAAATCAATATCTTTGTAGAACTGAGATATTCCACACAAGAGCTATTGTGTTTAAAGCTTCACCAGTTATCCTGACACAAAACTGGGGCAACAAAGCCTTGCTGTAAATATCTGGAACTCTGAGAATGTCTTGTGTTGCTTTTGCTTTTGTGACTCGGTGATATCTTTGTTGCAAAACAAAACGAGATAAAACATAACAGAAATCCACTCAGATTGATTCACGTTAAGAATGGAGGCATGTCACGAAAACACAGGACATCTGGAGGGCATCTTCGGGATCTGTCAGGCTCAGCTGGACCTCCTGGGCACAGCCTGGCCAGTCAGAGTCTGAGGCTCCACTTCCGTGTCTCAGGGCATCCAGGCTGCCTCTAGAGTCTCTTCACCTACGTGCTCCATTCTCCGGCTTTTTCCAGCAGAATTTCAGCCTGCATGGAGCTCTGGTATCAATGACACAGGCCTCTACTCGATCGGAAATTTCTCAGGAAAATCCATGGTGAACCCCAAGACCAGTCTGAATTCAAACCCGTTGTCATGGTGGGAATGGGGTCGTTCTCGCTGCCTGCATCCCTCATGCATCTGGAGCCTTTGCTGAGGTTCCAGAGTTACTGACTGAGGTTTCTGACCTTTTTTTCTCCTCTGTTTGGTTTCAGAGTGGAGAGCAGCCCAAAAATACGCAGGTAACTGAAGCCAGGAAACTGATTTGTGTTTTGGGTTGGCTGGATCTTAAACAGAAGGGAGGTGGGGAGATCTGAGATTAGAGGTCGGGGCTTTCTGGGAGCCAAGTATGGGGCCGGCACACACAGACACACACGCACACTTGCAAACACGCCACACGACACATATGCCTGCATGTGTATGCACACACACCCGTGGTTCCATGCACACGCACGTGCACACACACACGCACACGTGAGCTCCCACACACGTCGCTCCTCGGGGTTACACTACGTTTGTTTCCGTCTGGCTCGGGGCCATTTGCAGGCGAGAGTGCAGAGTTTATAAGGAACCTCCCGGATCCTCTGACAGAAGGGGTCCCCTAGGTTCCCATCTGTCAGATGGGATGGGGTGTTGAAATGTGGGGCACTGGATAGATGATCTCAAAAGTCCTTTTAAAAGCCTTTTTAAAACTTTCTGAAGGACTGTATGTAAAAAAAAAAAAAAATCCAAAAACTTCTGTAAAATGACGCTCAGTGCTCTCCTGATTATGTCAAGGTCACATGGGGTGGTGCCACCAGCAGGAACTAGAGCCAGCCCGTAGGTCCTTCCCCTTGACCGGGACGTGGCTCCCTTCCCACCAGCCTGCTGCCTTGCTATCTCTGGTATGGAGTTCAAGCCAGGGCAGGATTCCTTGTCACTATCAAACACGCAGGAGGGACTTACAACATGTCACTTCAGTCCCGGGGAGGGAGTTTGCAGGGGCGAGGGTCGGAGTAAGGGGTTCATTTCACTGATTATTCCACCAAGAGAAACTAGAGGTTTGTCCGTCTCGGGGAAGAGACGGACCGGCCCAGACCGTCCGGGGCGCGCACTAACGCTGCGGCTCTGCGCAGTGGACGTGACTCTGGATGCGGCCTCCGCGCACCCCAGCCTGGAAGTGTCCGAGGATGGCAAGAGCGTGTCTTCCCGCCGGGCGCCCCCAGACCCGGTGCCGAGCGACCCGCAGCGGTTCTCGGAGCAGACGTGCGCGCTGAGCCTGCAGCGGTTCTCCGCGGGCCGCCACTACTGGGAGGTGCACGTGGGCCGCCGCAGCCGCTGGTTCCTGGGCGCCTGCCTGGCCGCGGTGCCACGCGCGGGGCCCGTGCGCCTGAGCCCGGCGACCGGCTACTGGGTGCTGGGGCTGTGGAACGGCTGCGAGTACTTCGTCCTGGCCCCGCACCGCGTGGCGCTCCCCCTGCGCGTGCCTCCGCGGCGCCTGGGCGTCTTCCTGGACTGCGAGGCGGGACAGCTGTCCTTCTTCAACGTGTCCGACGGCTCCCACATCTTCACCTTCCACGACACCTTCTCGGGCGCGCTGTGTGCCTACTTCAGGCCCCGGGCCCACGACGGCGGCGAACGTCCGGATCCCCTGACCATCTGCCCGCTGCGGGTTCGGACGCGCGTCCCCGAAGAGAACGACAGTGACACGTGGCTGCAGCCCTACGAGCCCGCGGACGCCGCGCCGGACTGGTGGTGAGGCGCCCTCGTGGCCGCAGGACTGGCCCGGGAGGCTCCCCGGACCCCAGGCCCGCGCTTTGCTCTCCTGCTCCGGTGAAGTGAGCAGGTGCACCAGTCAAAATGTCAGCCAGGGGGACAAAGAGGGGGACCTTTGCCTACGTAGATGCGTATGTGTAATGCGATTTTCTTCAAGGAAAGGAGACACGTCCAAAACTCATATGTGGATTGTGGGGCTGAGCGAATGAGTACAAAGACATCCACGTCGCTGAGAGCCGGGGTTGCCTGCGGTGGGCGGTGGGAAAGAAGCCAGCGTGGAAGAAAGAAGGGAGAAAGCTTTAGTGACTGCATTAGAGGGATCAGTTAATTTGTATCGTTTTATGTTTTTTGTATATGTTTGCTAGCTCTAAAACAGTCCAGACGCAATGATACTTCGTAAGCAACGAGTTCACCTAAGTAAGGCTCAGATCCTAGTTTTAAATAGCATTTCCCATTAAAATGAAGTTGAAGAAACAGCTGTTTCTGGGGCTGGGGCAAAAATTTCAAGGTGAGCCTGGAGCATTGTGTGTGGTAAAGTAAAATAAGCGCTCAAAACGTGACGGCAACATGGCAAAAGGGTAGAGGAGCCAGGCTGAAGGGACCTCACTGACCAATTGTGGGACAATTTGAATATCAGGATGAATAATGACAGGAGAGATGATAACACACTGAATAAAAACATAATCCATGAGTTCATGCTGATACTCAAATTTCTTTTTAAAAAGAAGAAACAGGAAGGTTTCTTTTAGAGGTGAAATCTAATTATTGGTGAGAGTCTTTTGGAGAACAGGGTATTTTCAGTCTCAAAGCAGTGACCTTGTACACTACTTATAAATTTGAAAGGGGAAATTTACAAATGGAAATTTACTTTACAATGGAGACGTCTACCAGATCATCCAAGTGATTAAATTTAACACCATCAATGATGGCACCAAGGACATCATTAGTTTGACAATTGGGGAAAATGAAACACGAACAGGATATCACTGGAGAAGTGTTCTGCACCCCCTACCCCCAAGATAGTCTCTCTGTAGGCCAGGCTAGGGTGCAGCCTCAACCTCCTGGGCCCAAGTGATCCTCCCACCTCCGCACACAACACCATGCCCAGCTAATTTTAAATTTGTTATGGAGACGGGGTCTCACTTTGTTACCCAGGCTGGTCTCAAACTCCTCACTCAAGCAATCCTCCCACCTGGGCCTCCCCAAATGCTGGGTGTACAGGCATGGGCCACTGTGCCCGGCTTCATTTTCAGAGTGAGGCATTTGTATTATGGCTATGTAGGAGAATATTCTTGTTCTCAGCAAACATACTTAAGTTTTTTAGATATAAATTACCACAGTGTCTGCCACTGAATTTCCAGTGACTAAGTGGAAAAATATAAAACATATTAATATAAGGAAAGAGACAAGTCAAATGTAGCAAAATGACAACACTTGGTGAATCTAGGTGACTAGTCGACAGATATTCATTTACTATCAATGCAGCTTTGCTGTGGGTTTGAAATTTTGCAAACTAAAAGAGTTGGGTGGCGGGAAGAAGGATACACCAAAAAGCTTAGTGATTACCTTTGGATGGGAAAATGGTTGGTAATTGTATTTTTTAAATGTCTTCTTTGTATTTTTTAACATTCAATAATATATATGTATCAGTTCTGTGATAAAGGGGAAGAAGTTGTGTTTTTTTTAAAATACTCATCTTTAAAATCATTCATTTGAAAGGAACTATAATGAAACTGCTGGACGATCTCCTAGGGCATTGTTTCAGAGTACAATTCAGAGGAGTAATGCTCTCCTCCCCTTGCCCTTATTCCAGGCAGAGCTATCGTTGCCCATCTTGCTTGAGAAGGAGAATGAGGAAGGGAGACTAGTCCGCAGCCAAGCTTTCTAACTGGTCTTTCCTCCTTCTTCCCTCTTTCCCTCTCCTTTTCTTTTCCTCTTCATGGGGACTGAGATTTCTACCAGGGCCTTCAGCACCAGGATGGGAATGGATGGGGCAGGGACACCTCTGGGGATGAGCTTTCGCCCCACAGGCCCAGGAGTTTGGTTACACACCAGAGGGGGGTGTGCAAATAAAAAAATTCATGAAGTGTGCTGAGAGTCAGGTTTCTGTATCAGTGAAGGGAAATATGGAAATACAGAAAGGGGAAAGTAGAGGATGAGAGTAAGTCTAAGGTGGACTGGAATGAGAGATATCAACGTGAACGCGTGAGCTTTACTGTATGTAGAGAGATGGAATGCACGCACACACGTGGACAGATACATAGATGTGTGTGCATGCAGCTCGTTCCCAGCTCTGTCTTGTTTGAAGGCTTAGCAACAACAACACCCCAGTACCAATGGGCACACCTAGACCCAGAACTTAGTTTTTAGTACTATTTTCAGCAAAAGGAATGAAGTCTCCTTGGAGAAATGGTTGAGTCCAAGGCTAGGGCAGGGAAAATACAAGAAGAGCCTACAATATCCTATGCCAGAAAATAAGGAAGTAGATTGGACAGAAGAGCCAAGTCAAATGGATTTCGACGTCAGTATGGATTTTGAACCCGTGAATAAAATAGGAATCCATAAGTATTTCCCCACTGATATACATACATACATACATACATACATAAACAAATTCATGGAGAGAAGAGAAAGCTCTGTCCTACAATAGGAGTCTCAAAATATTACTTCTTAACTCATAAGTACAAAACACGTACCAATTAACTTTACAGTGGAGGAGGCTGGCAGACGCCACCTCAGCCAAATGACAGAAGTTAACATCACCAGATGGGAAAACAGTTTACATCACATTCTTCCTGATACAATGCAGTGGAGAATACAAACGGCATCACTTTTGAGGTATTCCTGCACCCAAAAATGCATAAATCAGGAGGAAACACTGGACAAACTGACGGGTACTCTTCAAAAATGTCAAGGTCCTGAAAGACAGGACACCACTAAGGAACTGCTTCACGCTAAAGGAAACAGGAGAACTAAATGCAATAGGTGACCCGGGATGGGATCCTGGATCTATAAAAAAACAACACTGGGCCAGACAAGTTGGCTCAGGCCTGTAATCCCAGCACTTTCGGAGGCTGAGGTGGAATGATTGCTTGAGTCTAGAGAGAGAGAGGGAGATTATTAGGGGAAAAAAGGGCATTTTGAAAGAGGTATGTGGATTAAATAATATTGGATAAAAGTTAATTTCCTGATTTTGATGTAAAAGAATGCTCTTAAGAAAATGCACACTTACGTATTAAGGGGTAAAGGATTATGATGTTTATACCTTATTTTCAAATGGCTCATTAAAACATATAGTAATATAAACAGAGAGAGTGATAAAGAAATGCAGTGGTGTCTGATAAATGTTTAATAACTGGCTTTCTGAAAAAAAAAAAATATTGAGCCGATTTCCCTGGTGCAAGCACTCCCACTATGATTGACTTCAAGCTGAAGATGTGACACCACTGAGGACAGACTTGGGAAGTGCCTTAGTCAGCTCTGGCTGCTGTAACAAAATACCATACACTGAGTGGCTTGTAAACAACAGAAATGTATTTCTCACAGTTTTGGAGGCCGAAAGTCCAGGATCAGGGTGCCAGCACAGTCAGGGTTGGCGAGGGTTCTTTTCTTGGTTGCAAACTGCTGACTTTGCTTTGTATCCTCACATGGCAGAGACCAAGAGAGTTCTTCAGGGTCCGTTTATATTTTTGATTTTAAATTGAGACAGGGTCTTGCTATGTTGCCCAGGCTGGTCTTGAACTCCTGGCCTCAAGTGATCCACCTACCTCAGCATCCCGAAGTACTGAGATTACAGGCATAAGCCACCGTACCCCGCCCCCAGCAGGGTCTGTTTCTTTTTTGTTTTTTTGTTTTGTTTTGTTTTGTTTTTGAGACAGAGTCTCACTCTATCGCCAGGCTGGAGTACAGTGGCATGATCTCAGCTCACAGCAACCTCCACCTTCTGGGTTCAAGCGATTCTCCTGCCTCAGCCTCCAGAGTAGCTGGGACTACAGGCACCCACCACCACACCCGCTAATTTTTGTATTTTTAGTAGAGACAGGGTTTCACCATGTTGGCCAGGGTGGTCTCGATCTCTTGACCTCATCTGCCCGCCTCGGCCTCCCAAAGGACTGGGATTACAGGCGTGAGCCACCCAGCCCCTGACAGATCTGTTTTGATAAGTGCATTAATCCCATGGTAAGGGCTCCACCCTCATGACCTAATCCCCTCCCACAAGTCCCACCTCCTGCTACATTGCACTGGGTGTTGGGATTTCAACATGTGTGTGGGGCGTGGTGGAGAAGGACACATTCAGACCACAGCAGGAAGAGACACCCATGACCAGCCCTCATGAGATGCCAGGTCCAGACACCACTGTCTGTGAAATTCTAGAGGGAGATTGTAATTTGTTTCTCCATCAAGTCAGATAAGTGCATTTTAAGCTTATGAAAATATCCTCGGTCACCTGTTGGGAGAAAGCTATTCCCCTTATTAACACATGATAGTCAGAAAACGCAAGTTTTATTTTCTACAGTCATTTGCATTAGCGTTTAAATATTTGGGGTTCTTACTCACGAATGTTTTTGCGATAACATTAACAAGGTTATTATTGGATAAACGTTAATTTCCTGATTTTGATGTAGAAGAATGCTCTTAAGAAAATGCACACTTATGTATTAAGGGGTAAAGGATTATGATGTGATAATTAAAAATATGTTATAACATTAAAAATATGTTTCCTCTCCATCTGTAGTTATCATTCCTTTAGGACTGTATTTATGTGATAAATAAGAAAAGCAAACATATAGCTAATATAAAAAACAACATTAAACTGTGTTTAAATAATCAGTGGATCTGATCTGCCCACTTTCAATGATGGGAAGGCTGTTTTCCTGTGCAGGACCGCTGTGGGCAGCCAGAGGCCCCAGCTGGAATGGCAGGAAGTTCAAACCCCTCTCTCACAAGTGCTGGCAGCAGCACACAACCATGTGGTTCAACCAGCCAACCAAAGATCCCATCACCCTGACCCCCGCGCCTGGGCCCACCCAGCCCACAGTAAGGTGCCTCACGCTAACGCATCACACCAAAGTAGGCAGTGTCTGAAGCCTGGAGGAGCTAAGGGTAGCCGGCATTCACAAGAAGCTGGGCCAAACCACTGGCATCTCCAAGTAAAGGCAGCACACAACCATGGGTCTAACCACAACCAAAGATCCTATCATCACACCCTCCCGCGCCTTTTTGGGCCTACCTTAGCCACAGTAAGGTGCCCATGCTAATGCATCACACCAAAGTAGGCAGTGTCTGAAGCCTGGAGGAGCTAAGGGTAGCCGGCATTCACAAGAAGCTGGGGCTAAACCACTGGCATCTCCATGGATCCAATACAACACAAGTCCACTGAGTCCCACAGGCCACTGTACAGCAGCTAAAGGGGTATGGACCAAACGTCCTCTCAGGCAAGTGACTAAAGCCCACACTTTCCCAGAAGCCTTGGCCCCCAGAAAGGGAGACGGTTCAGTGCGCTGGACCACGCATCCTCTCCCCAGGAAGCCTTGGCCCCCAGAAAGGGAGACGGTTCAGCAGAAGAACTGAAATTGGCCACCAGCTTGACAGGACCAGTTATGCCCATCAGGAACGGCTACGGGAAGGAGAAAGCCTAAATCATCACCGAGGAGGAGAACTTCAAAGCCTTTGCTAGTCTCTGCACGGCCTGTGCCAGGACCTGGCTCTTCAGCCTATGGAGAGCTGAGACAAGCTGCAGAACAGGATGTTGAAAAGAGAAAATAAATACCTGCTGGGGACTTTAAAAAAAAGGTGGAGGGGGGCATGCCCAGCCTTAAACTGAGAGAGACCCGAGACATTCAGGTATACATTTTGTGAACCAGGAAGGCCCCAGGGGAGGCCGCCCGGAAGGCTGGAGCATGCAGAGTAAAAACCCACGTTTCCCTCCTGCCAGTGGCCCCAGGCAAGTGCATACAAATAGCACATGGTGGATGTCCTTCTCCCTACCGCTCACGTTTTCCATGCAGCTAACCCTCAAAGTAGGCAAAGGGTGAATGCACCACTTTTGTGTGTATCCCTGTCCAGTCTACGGAATACACCAGTGCTGACCCTGCCTGGGAGGCTTCCGCTGCTTGAGCGTGCCTGAGGATGGGAAGCTCATTGGTGGCAGTGTTACGGGGTCTCTGCGGTGCTGATTTTGCTGGTCCCGGGACTTTTATAGACAGGAGGAAAGCATGCCGACTGCTTCCATGGGTGGCATGGGTGGGTCCAGAAAAGGTACCACAAGTCCCCACTCAAGTCTGGGACTGGCAGCCCAGCCATCGTGATCCCCACTCAGGTCCGCAGGACTGGCAGCCCAGCCATCAGTCCCCACTCAGGTCAGCAGGACAGCCAACCATCAGTCCCCACCAGGTCCGCAGGACTGGCAGCCCAACCATCCAGTCCCCACTCAGATCCATGGGACTGGCAGCCCAACCATCAAGGCCCTCCCTGGCCTGAAATTGGGGACCTTTCCACAAAAAGATATGTAACATTTTCAATTTTCTATGTCATCTGTAAATTGTTACAACAAATCCAGGTAGACTGCGGTATATGGGAACCGCGCGGTGTGAATTCTAAAGTTAAGGGAAAAAACAACAAAATAAAATAGCAAAAAAACAAGATTTATACTGAAAAAATCA